GTGAGGACTGAGATGACACCGGCGTCGACTGCTCTGTTGCTGGGGCGGAGGTCGCTATTTCTAGTCAGGCTCCTATGATTCATGCGTGGCTGTTTGGAGGTCTGACGTGTCAAGATGTGCCATTTCACTAATTGTCACTCTGACTTATCCTAAGCCCCTTACAGCCCCTGAGCTCTTCCCTGACCCGTGATAATTTCAGCAGGAAACTGAGAAAAAAGAGCAGGCTTTTATTCACCTCGGGGAAGGAGAATCTGGTCAGGCTCTATTGGAGAGTATAGTGTTGGCTACCGCTGGACTGTAAATGCTTTGAAGAACATTTTAACGTGGTAACCACTTTGTTAGTATCTGCTTAACAGATTTTAAATCAATATTGGTTTACAGTTTTGTCTTATTTTATTACTAGGCCCTCCAAACTTTTATTTTCTTGCCACTTTAATCTTGATGATGGATGATCTAGGTTGATAAAACAAATGATACACCTGTCTAAAATGCCTTCAGTAGTATAAGCAATGAGCTGAACAAGCAGCATGGCTACCTCTCAGGTTACAGCTCAACAAAGTATTTGAGCATGTCTTTGAGCCAAGTGGCAACCTCCGTTGTTAAATAATGAAGCAAATGTTGAGGTGCAAAATCCTGCAGTTCGTTGAGGGTCCGCTTGATGGTGGCTGCAGAAGCTCCAGAGGTTGCATACACATTAACCCTTTGACTTCCACACTAAGAAATCCATTTGCAAAAAAGTATTTGTTGGTAAAACTGTGTTCCTGCCTCTTCATTAAGCAACAAGATTATTCTTGTAAATTTATGAGTTTAATCTTGAAATTAAAAAATATATATTCTTTTAACATGGCCCTAATCCTCCATCGTACAGGACTGCCCGTTCTGACCCAGTTTAAATTCTGTCCTGGAAATGATTCAACAAAACAAAGGTAGGTTTTTCTGTTCTGTGTTACCGATCAGTGATGTATTCCTTATTTGATATACAGTATATAATATCTTTAATCTTTAACTATTCTCTTAAAGCACCAATTGCTCAATATTATTATATCGCGATGGTTCTTTGGTCGACAAATCACAGGAATTGTCAAACGACATGAAAGCTTTTAGCTAATTCTTTTACTTGGTGCAACTGGATTGTTGTGGCTCACTATTACTGATCTCATCAGGTGTAATGCTCTCTCAGAGTTATATTTCATCATCTCTACAGCTCAAACAGCAGACAGTGAGCTGGGGAGGCTTAGTCACTTAAGCACAAAACGTCTGAAAAACTCCTGAAGTTTTTAAGGTGAGCTGCATGTGTGAACAAACACAGCTGAATTTTTAACTCGGGCTTCATCTGGAGTTTATCCTACCAGCTCCAGTATTTTTACAGTACAAAGTCCAAGTGAGTCAATGTGAGAACACAGCAGGAGAAATCACCTCAAGCGAGCGGTAGGGGTGGTGACGTTTATTCTCTGCAATCGGTGCTTGACCATAGTATGTATGCACGCGACCGTTGTAGTGTATCTCTAAACTTCAACTTCTCCAGCAGACGTCTACTGGGAATGAGAAGGATTATGAATATATTAACTGTCTTCTAAAAGTCAAAATACTCAGGCCTGTAAATTAAACTTTTTCCCACACTGGCAGCTCTGACATGATTAAAGAAGCTAAATAAAAAAAGGACAATAGTGAGAGACAATGCCTGGGTTGATCTCAGTGGTGCCAATACTTAGAATAAATGTTTACTTTAACAATGACACCCTGCTACATGTCATAATGAAGGCATTTTTTTATGCACATTTACATCCCAGTATAATTCAGGAGGCTCATCATTTCCATTTGGGACATGAAAACACCATTTCCCATCTGGTCTAAGCTCCCCTCAAGATTATGTGCTGGAGTAGGCTCATATTACCCAGGGTATCCTATTTAATCGTATTTTTTTTGTGGTCACACTGAGTTCTCCTTCCATAATAATAGCCAAAGTATTCAGCTTAATTATGTATGCCGGGTATTTGTGATTAGGATATGAATATGCATATAAACAGCTTAGCCCAAATATGACCTCAACTGGGGCATGAGCTGGTATCCACTCAGCTCTGTGTGTGTGAGTGAGTGTGTGTGTGTGTGTGTGTGTGTGTGTGTGTGTGTGAGAGTGAGTGTGTCTGTGTGACTGCTTGCTTTGCTGCCGTTTCATTTTAACTGAAAATGTCCTAATAAGCTTGACTTAATGGGCCCACCATGGATACTTAAGATTAGACACAGACACTGTCATATTTTGCTCTGCATGTTTCTTCTCCTTTTAAAGGGTAATATCAGTATATTTAAGACCATAGCTCTGTTTTTCAACCCATATGTTGGGGTATAAATAACAGCGATCAGTAAAAACTGATTGCTGTTAGAGAAAGTGTTGGACTTCCTTCAGAAGATTGTCTCGACCTGCAGGTGCTGAACACACTGTAAGGTTTGCATTCAGCTCTGTGAAACAATTACACTTTCAGCAGTTAAAGGCAGGGTTGTTGATTTTCTCCAGATACACTTTTTAAGATTTTGGTTGAAATTGTCTTTAGGTCCTGACAGACATTAATACTCGTGCTCTGAAAAAGGAACAAAGAAAATCCATCATCTGTAGCTGTTGTAAGCCTGTAGAAACTTCTACCAATGTCTGCGAGGTACCAATCTGATGCACCAATCACGCCTCCCTGTCTCCCTGCTCGTTCTCTACCCCTTCTGTGGACTAGCCCGTGCATGTAAGTGAGGGGCGTGGCTTTTGAGGGAGCACAGAGGGGAGGGGGTGTGTGAAGACAGAGCACTGAGGGAGTGCTGCTTTCAAAATCATGCTAGTTTTTTCGAAAATGACCAACCCTGTCTTTAATCGCAGAATTTTCTATAGTCATAATTATTTTTATGTGTTTGTGTGTGCAGAAGAATGAAGAATAAAATAGAGAGAGAAGAAGACATGTACATTTTAAACGCACAGGTGGGACAAAAGAAAGCCTTCAGGGCTTCAGGAACCCACCCAACATTAAAATGAAAACATCTGCAAAGTCTTGTCATGAAATACAAACATATTAAGGTATTCATATAAAGTCTAAAAAGAGGGAGAGAATACAATTTACAAATTTACTGTAACATAAATACTGCTGTAAGCTGTGAGTATTATTTTTAAAACCCAAAACAGAAGAGTGACTGCAAAATGAGGCAGAAAACTGTTCCAGATGTTTGGACCTCTGTCCCCTTATTGGAAACCTCTGTACCAAGGCTGGTCCTGTAGATTGATCTGTGCAGAAGATTAACAGATATTGTGTGATGAAAGTGGATCTGAGACCTACATAGTCTCAATTTCTAAATTTTGCATTGAAATACAGTTCCTGATAGCCTTTGGTTTTATTTTGTATTTGTGTATTCCTCAAGGAAGTTCACTTCCTGTTTGGATACTAACCTGCTTGTATTTTGAAATTAAAAAAGGAACTTCTGGTAGATAGAAGGTTAAGACATTAACTTAAAGACCTTCTTGCAGATATAAAAGTGGGAATGGTAAAAAACTGAAATGTTTGATATCACAAGGTGAAAATTACTTTTGTCAACTGAGATGTCCGGACCTTTGTAAAGTGATGCAAGCCCTCAAAAGATGCAGTGGTGTTGCCTTTTGTCAAGGGGTAACAAAGTCACAAGTGATCTTCATCCAACTTTAGTATGACTCTTCTCCACAGAGCACTTAAGCTTCTCTCAACTTATTTTTGTTTCACAGCCCTCAGTTTTTACTGTTTAGTCTCAGTCAGTCTCACAGCTCTCATCACAAATGAAAGCATATTTGTTCTTACAGAAAGTGCTTCTAGAAATGACAGAGCGTCCTCTTTTCACAGTGCACATTATGTACATTATTGGCCATTAGGGGATGCATTCATGTGTCTTCTGCATGTTAATGCTGCCCAGCTGCAGGTATAGTTTATTTAATGGACTGAATTTAATGTTGATTGATTTAATTTATAACAATGCATCATGTTTTATACGGATTGTAGAACCATTTTATAACTGTGCCCTGTAGAGAAACGGGCAAGTCAAGTCAATCAATCTTTATTTGTATGTTTTCATATAGTGATGTAGCACAAAGTGCAAACAACAAAAACATGACCCCATCCCCAACCCTAGATCAAGTAAAATGCAAAATATTCTCTTCTGAAATTAGGTGGAATGTGAACTATATGGTGCAACTGCATTTATATTTCAGTCAACTTGTCGGTATTTCATTTTAACCTTTTATGGACTGTCTAATATGGAAGCGACTAGTGATCAGAATTCAAATGATAAAGCTAATTTGAAAATGAAAATGCATTAACAGAAATGCTTTTTAATTTTTTAGAATATGGGTGTATTATTTGACTCAAAAATAAAATTATGACTAATTATCTAATTTGCATTTTAATTTTCAACTTCAAAAATGCACATTCTTTGACTAAATTAAAATGAAGAAAATTACATTTGCTTTTTCATTAATTTCTGTCTGAAATGAGGGGGGGGGGGGTAAAATAAAAAAAATGCATTTAATGCTAACAGGATAAAAGTTTCTATTAGCTTGAATAATGTGTTTGCATTAGACAATTTCTAGTTTTAGTTAAAGGCTTTCCCCGTCTCTTAATCCCCTCCCACAGAAGACTGGCGCTGATTTATACTTAACTTATCCCCCCAAAATGTAGGACTTAATATTTTTTTAAAGTAGAAGAGTGTAAAACTAAATGTATTTTACTTCTCAGGGGGCTTTGGACAAATGTGCGCCCCTTCTAAACCGTATGAGCGCCCCTGCCTGGGTTCCAGGGTTCCAGCCTTTTGAGCCAGTCTCATTTGAAGTAGTATTTTAAATAGGATGCACTTTGTCTTGTGATGACAGGTGAATCCTGGGATCTGACCGCCAGTGCCACGCATGCACCGCTGGAGCGCACGAATCTCTTCTCGCGCCGCCCTCCTCCTCCTCCTCCTCCTCCTCCTGTCCGCCTGCTGCCGGGAGGAGCAGAGGAGCAGAGCAGACCGGAGCGCAGCATCCACAGCCACGGTACCTTTGGGATGTGCCAGTAAAAAAAGACAGCTCGAAATGCCCCGTGAAATTCTCAAAGTTTGTCTTTTATGAGAGCTGAAAGCAGAGAATAAATCACAGCGCGAGAGAGAGAGAGAGAGAGAGAGAAAGGAGAGAGAGGGGGAACAAATCGCGCGGAGGTGCATCGGCTCCTGCAGACATTTCCAGCGGTGCCTGCCTGCCTGCCTTCCTGCCTGCTGCCCGGGCTCTGTCTGTCGTTCAGGATCGTGAAGCGCATCGGAGCTGGTGTCCCGAGCTGATCGAACCGTCAGGAGGGAAGAAAGAGGAGGACAAAGCTGCCCATCTCTGCAGATATCCCCCCCTGCAGCGTGCGCCGGAGTGGAGGTGAGTGCCGTTGTGATGTTTCTGTGTTGTTGACTGTGAGTTGAGGTTGCTGAAGGACTCACAGGTGAGGAGGCCACGTGGTTTGACTGATAACTTGTACGAACCGTCACCCTTGTTGTCCTGGTCCTGGCTCTTATCAATCCCTTGCAGACTGTGTCAGAGAGATGCAGCCCGAGTCATAACTTTGTGCAACATCACCGCCACCCGTCACTGCACGGGCATCACGGCATGTGTGGCTGTGTGTCCGGATAACATCGACAAAGCAATATATCACACTCTTGAGAACGCGTGGCCAATTTCTCTCCGAAGCTATCTAACGGCAATATCACAGGGAAAAGTCCAGATTCTTAAATGTGTCCTTAAACGCATCACTGAAGAAACAAACAGGATGCATTGCTTACACTAACAGATCCCTGTTTGACATTGTGACCTCTTGTGTCACATGAATTTCTTTGACTTGGTAACACATCCACCAATATGTCAAGTGTTAAACTTGACATATTTTAAATTTGGGAACTTGAAATCAGAAAATAAAATAAGCATTTGAACCAATGGAAAACATACTGCAGTTAAATCAATAATTTAATTTAATTGAACTTCAGAAATTAGAGTAATTACTGCTTTACTCTGTTTCATGTCTTTATTCAAATCAATATGGTTGGGTTTTGGACCGTGGCTGTGTAAACCAGCAATTTAGAAAAATCAAATTAACCATGAGTGTCCTTTTTGTTTTATCACTTTGACAAAATCAGCAAAGTTTTTAACGACTTAAAATATATGCATGAGTTGCTCCTTGAGAAACCGTGACAGCTTGTATGTGTCCCACAAAAACAACATAATCTGCCTGCATAAGAATCTCCTCGATCATGAGCTGACTGCTGTTCTCTGGAAATCAAAAGTGCCGCTGAGCTTAAGGGCAACTCCACAAGAACAGACGCTCTGTGCAGAGTTTGACATTGTCTTCGACTCATTGCTGAAACTGTAAACGGCTTCTTTCCAATCTGTGAAATCCACATAACGAAAAAGATAAGAATCAGAATCAACATATACTCTCCTCCTTTTTAGCACTGATGTTTTTTATACTCCAATCATATTGTATCAAATCTGCAGATCTGTAGGGGCGCTGATAATTCATGGTATCTGATTTGTTCATTATTGACGTTTTCCTCAATACCAGAGCAGTGTCAGCTCTATAAAGAATATTATTTACAGGTGCTGAGGATGTTTATGTCACAGGGCTTTTCTACAGTGATTGTTCCTGACACTGTGACTGAGTGAACTCTTCATCAGAGTGACAGCCTGTGGGAGAACAAAAAAAAAAAAAAAAATCTCCTCTTGTGTCTCGAAACTGTTCATGACGTTACTTTGTGAATGCTGACTTAAAGTCGTAGAAGTATAACGCATCACCTAAGGCGTGCATTGTCCTTAAAGTCGTGAAAAAAGTTGCATCATGTGCTGGAGTCACATGGACTGCGGTGCGAATGACAGCTCCGTGGCTCATCTGAAAGGCCTGTAGCACAAACAGCAGCTCATTACAAGTGCAGCAGCCGCGTCTTCCTCTGGCAGGAGGCTGCCGGCTCATTAGGGGTCACCGAGGGGCGAGTCTCCCACTACGAGCCCCGGCTTGTTACCAGAGCTCTCTGTGAAGAGACGCTGCTAATTGGAATTTATTTTCAGAGATGGTTTGAGAGGAGGGACATGCGTCAGTAAAGTTTATGTCTGGACTGTTGTTGAGTTGTTTGTCTTTTAGTTAAAAAATGTTAAGACGACTCTTGCTTAACACTCACATGTCTGATTCCTACAACAAAAACTTAATAGGACTGTTACGACCAGCTGGGGAAACCAGCCGTTGCATAAAAGTGACCCCTGTCCTTCCTCGCTCCCAACAATGAACCACAATCAAACACATGCAGTCCACATTATGTCATTTATTAACACTGTTCACAAAATAACCAAACTTCAGGGACAGAAATTAGAATTAGTGAAAATAATAAACGTAACATGATCTGAGTAAAAAAAACAAACTACCTTACCTTTGATAAAGTAAAGAATAGGAAATACAGGCATCTTCTTTAACTTCCGAACAGAAAAACAGGAGAAATGGTTTAATCAGAAGAAAAGGCTACTCTCCCCTACAACAGTAAGCAGGACTGCACCATGTAAACACAATGAATCTCAATTTAAAGAAAACACAAAGTTTCTCTCTTTCGCAACACGAGGAAGATGACGTGCTTTGTCCAGCTCCCTTTAAAACTGGGGTCCTCATCCTCCAATGATGTGCAGGCACACAGCACCAGCTTCCGTCCAATTAATGACCGGCTTTGAGGAGCCCCTAAAAATTAAATAAAAACTAAAAATAGATGATAACTTGTTCCTACAAAATATTTATCTTGTGTGCACAAAATACAAACTGTTCATTTTTTGGGGACTCCAGCGGCTCCATTGGTAGGGATGTGTCGTTCATGAACGATTTGTTCAAATCAAATGAATCATCTGGGTGAACGAACTGAACTGAATCACTTACTGAAAAAAGTCGTTAATTTCTCAACTTAAGTTGCGCTCTCCTCTCTCCCGTCTCGTGTCTCTCTCTCCAGACCGTAAGAGTCGCTCAAAGCCCGCCCTCCCACTCCCTTTCATGTCAGTGATACCTACTGACTGAACCAACAGGACGGAGTCCGTCGGGAGCTCTGTGTCGCTAAAGCCCGCCCCTACTTCTCCATCTCGTGTCTCCAAAATTGAGGAAGTAGCAAATATTTTATTTAACATTTAGGTGTCATGAAAATGTATGTGCTTCTGCTGTCAGTTTGCAAACGGCTTTCATATCCAACTTACAGTGTGTGTGTGTGTGACTGAGGCTGGTGACTCGCAGTCTCGCACGTTCACGTTCAGTCAGTGATTCGTTCACTGAACGTGCTGAACAGAAGCTCCGACACGAATCACTCACTGACTGACTGAGAGGAAGAGAGAGACTCAGAGCTCCCGTTCAGTACATTCAGTGAACGAATCACTGACTGAGAGGAAGAGAGAGGAGAGAGACTTGTAAAGTAGCCTAAGCCCATTATTATTTTTTTTAAATATAATTATTTTTTAAATCATTTTCTTTGCCCTGCTTATAATTTAAAATATAACTGTTCTGGCATGGGATATATTCATTGCCATGCATATTTTCTGCTGACATGTAGCCTATATTAAGTTAAATTCATTGTCATTCACAATTCGTACGTCGTTCAGTGTACGAATCATTGACTGACTGATGCTCAGTGAGTGATTCGTTCACTGAACGTACTGAACGGGAGCTCCGCCTCTGAGTCGCTCTCTTCCTCTCAGTCAGACAGTCAGTGAGTGATTCGTGTACTTAAAGTACTGTTCAGAACGATCGGGGAAAATAAATGTGATTGTTTTAGCAGCTTTCAGTTTGCAAACTGTAGCTTTATCCAACTAAATTCTCAGCTCATTGGCTTATTATTCACCACCGGCTGTATGATCGCGAGCAGAACTAAATGTTCGGACGTGTTTCAGCTTATTAAATTCTGATTCACAGACAGAGCTGCAGAGAAGTACTGAACGATTCGGTGAACGAATCTTTTGAACGAATGACTTTACTGAACTGATTCTACTGATTCAGTACACTGAAAAGAACTGCTTTTCCCATCACTATCCATAGGTCTCTTTGGGCTTTATTGAAGACCTGATGCCTCCCCTGCCTCTGTCAGAGACACAGCAAACTGTGTTCATTAAGGTACAAGCTGGAAATCCCATTAGTGGTCATTCAGCCCAAGTTCTCTGCAGCAGTGGGGGTACAATTTGCCACTGAGCCACCACCTGTTTAACCACTGGTTTGTTTTCATACTGAGAGAGGTGTTAACCTATTTGGAAGAAGGATCCATTTGGAAAAAGTGAACTGTCTTTTCATATTGGACGGCCACATATTTGTCCTGGTTCTTTGTGTCAGCTAAACAAAAACTAGCTTAGAGGTTTTGACAGATAGTGTCCGCTAGGCCCCCCGCCCACAAGGGGGGATAAAGGGGAAAGCTTTCTGGGACTCATGAGGAGGGTCACATGGTCCGTAATAATTTTAAGCAACAATGAACACATTTTATTTCACACCTAAATACTCACCATTACCTTTGAAAGTAACAAACACACACATTTTATTTATTGTTGCTTCAGTAAATTGTATCCTGTTTCAAAATGTAAACCCCCTCCTCTTAAAATGAAATGAACTTTTTTTGTTGTAATGTCACTAACATTAGTGCTAGTGCTAGCAAGCAGTCTAGCGCTCTCACTACTGACTGAATGTGCATACATTGATTTAAATCATATCCTGGGTGGGCCCAGTTCACAGGACATTTCAGGGGCCGGCAATTTCTTCGAGTGGGCCTGTATTGCAAAAACAGACTTGGTTGGTATTTGTTACTAATGGAGTAGAATCCTTGTGGTAGATCAAACTTTTTTTTTTCTGGCTGTATGTGAAGTCTGGACTTTTGTTATGTCGCTGCTTTAACACTGGGCAGTTCCCAGCGGAAGTCTTTGAATGAACCTGAATCCAGGCTAGTGCTGCTGAAACAGTGGTCTTTGTACACCTTAAAAAATAAGCAAAACTCTTAATTCCACTGAATCATACTTTTGTATTTACTCATAATTTAATTTATACTTAATTGATCCCGCAAGGGGAAATTTGTTTTTACACTCTGTCTAGTTAACATGCTACACAAACACAAAAATGCACAAACAGGATCCTATGGACATGCACTAATGGAGAGGTCTCAGAGTGAGGGGGCTGCCCACAGTGGGTGCTCCTGAGCTGGTGGGGGGGGGGGGGGTTAGGTGCCTTGCTCAGGGGCACCTCGGCAGTGCTCAGGCACCTCTCCAGCTACCAGGCCAATTTCTGGACTTGAACCAGCGACCCTCCAATTCTCAACCCAAGTCCCTACAGACTGAGCTACTGCCGCCCATAATGTATAAGTCATTAAACTATTGTCATTTTCTATAAAAGAAGA